TATATATATATATATATATATGTGCCACATTCGTACATACGTTTACATCAGAAAATACTAAACAATATAAATGATGACTATATTACACTACACAGCCCTTTTGCAATCCTGTCGCTAATCAATCGCTATTTCTATGGAACAGAAAGCGGAATTCTATCGGAGGAAATCTGAAGATAGAGTTGCCAAGTCTGTCAAGTCGTAACAAAAAGACACACACACAAATAAATATATATATATATATATATATATATATATATATATATATATATATATATATAAAGCAATAATCATCTCTTTATATATAATGAAATAATCATTATCAATCAGCAATATTAATGCGATTAATGGCGAAATCACTTCGCTAGCAGAACATAATGTATGCATTAAAATATTGTTAATTAATTGAATGATATGATCCTCATTTATAAAACTTTTGTCAGATGTTTCTAGTGTATATTTTTTAAGTTAAGCAAGTACTTTCGAAGACCCATGTCTCCATCCTCAGGCTGTAATTTTTTTCCTTTAAAGTTAAAACTTGAAGACGAAATAATTGTTTGCAGACCAAAAGATGTCTTTTTAAGAATGTACTATTTATTGACTCTTGTACAATCTCGGAACGTTCGAAATATCAAGGGAGAATTTTTATATGAATTTTGTAATATGGTAAATCCATGAATTCTTTTTTTTACAAGTGTTTTCCATTTAACATGACATGAACTAAGTATATAGTTCAATTAATATAGTGATATGTCTGATAGATAGATAGATAGATAGATAGATAAACTAAAATAATCCTAAGGAGCCAGATAAACATTATTAATGAGATGCTGCATGTCCATCCTGGGTACCTTTTACGGGGGCAGTATCAAGAATAATTCAGTGTAAGGCAAAATCAAACAAGAACAAACGTTCAGACGAATTCCATTCTTTAATTCTTCCTCTTCAGACCTTGACAGATAAGACACGACGTGCTGATACCACGGAGTCAAATCAGCCACATTACTCCTAGTTCCATATTTAAGAAGTTATTCACTCAGATAGTTTTTCTGCTAATAACTTATACAGGTTTCTGCGTGGTTGCTTCCCTGAGCATAACATCCTTAAACTTTTCAAGTAAAAGGTCAATCGATATCTTTCCTCCAGATTCTAATAATCTCACTTCCTACCACCCTCTCTTTCATGTCACACATTCATTAATGCGGTGTCCGACATATTGGGCTGTCGCAAATAACAGACAAGAATTGAAATATGAAAGAATAATTTGAAAAATATACATCGTAATTAAATGTCAAAATTCAAAACGAATAAAAAAAAAGATAAAGCGATCAGATCTGACGGACATTTTTTTTCACTATTTGGTGCTGTCGCTGGTACAGACGCACAAATATTCCCTGAACGTCTTCTTAACCTCTTCAAGGGTCAAATGTTATCCTTCCTATCATCATAATCTTCAGTTCCTACAATTTCCCCTTTCATTTATATCACACATATCGAGCATCATTAGCATTTTAGCAGTAACCATCTAACATCTATTTACTTAAAATAACAATTAAGACAAAACAATTAATCAACAGTTCAGAAAATTATTATTAAAATGGTCCTGGATTATACTGGTTAATGACAATAAATTACTATGGTAAACAATAGTAAATTAATTACCGATACCGTTCGAACTGCAAGCCACCTGCTTCAATGCTTTGCTTTCTTACTAATAGAAACTGTATAGTAATATATATATATATATATATATATATATATATATATATATATATATATATATTTGAATGAAAAAAGACAGACCACGTTAAGATTCCATGTAATAAGCTATTTCACCATAACCCCTTTAACAGGGTTCTGGATCATCAGATTTTTACCTCAAAAGCTGAAATGAAAAATGAAAAGAAATTTGAATTTCTTTTCATTTTTCATTTCAGCTTTTGGAAGTAAAGTCTGATGATCACCCGAACAAATCATTAACGCCCTATGTGTCAGGGTCCTAATCAAATTAATCTTTTGTTGTTTAGGACAAACGGAGTCCCATCGAATATATAGTCCTTTAAAAGTAGACTTCCTGTACACAGAGGTATTAAACAAGGCAGGAGTTCTTTGAACAAGAACATCTAAGAAGGGCAATGAACCATTGACCTCCTTATCTAATGTAAATTTAAGGGCAGGATGAACACCATTGAGTAGATCCACTTCCGATTCATGGTTGAACACACAAAAAGTGTCATCAACATACCGAAAGTAAACCTTGGGTCGGGCAGAACTTAACAAAAGGCTTTCTTCATAAAAACCCACAAAAATATTTGCCAAAACAGGACCCAAAGGGGAACCCATCGCTACACCATCGATCTGACGATACATGATATTGTCGAAACTGAAATCGACAAACATAGTGGCAAATTTCATGAGTTCAACGAACACATCTTCAGGTATATTCGGAGAAGTCAGATCGCTACGATATAGCATATCGCTGCAAATATCAATAGTCTCCGATAAAGGAACACAAGTGAAGAGGCTACAGATCTCAAAGGAACACATGAATCCATCAGTGGATTCACATTTCCGAATGAATTTGAAAAAAAGAAAATGAATCTTTAATACAAAAGGAACTGTAATGCTGCAACACTGGTTGCAACAATATAGCAAGCCACTTTGCGACTTTATGCTGTGAAGACCCAATCATCGATAATATGGGTCTCAACGGGACACCCTTCTTATGAATCTTGGGTAATCCATAAATACGGGGACGAATAGAGCCAAGCGGTCTCAATTGCTCCGCCATTTCAGAAGAAAGAACACCACTTTTACCCATTTGACAAGACGTTTCTGAAATCGAATTTCAGAAGTCAATGTAGAATCATGAGTGTCAATGGAACCAAGACGTTGAAACTTGGAAGGGTCATTCAATATACTTAACATTTTGTTAATGTAGTCATGGCGGTCCATGAGGACAACACCAGATCCCTTATCCGGTTTAGTAATAACCAAAGAATGGTTATTCTTAAGGGATCTAATAACCTTATGGTGTTCACTTCTCCATTTCGATTCAGAGAAAGAAATAGGAGAACTAGCATAAGAATGAGCCAAATCATTCAATTTAGCTCGAAAGTCACTGGATTTATCATCAGACACCGGATGAAGTTTCGAGAGTTGAGCATACAATACTTCTAATTCAGAAAAAATATTCTCTCTACTAATAGAAGTGAAAGGTATGCTGAAATCTAGGCCGTGGGCCAAGATAGCAAGCTCAATCTCCGAAGGAGAATAAGAAGACAAATTAACTACATTTTTTGTAGCATTTGGTTCAACCATACAGCCAAATCTCTTGGAAATAAGTCGTTTTAACTTATTCTGAAAACTGCTTAGAACGACAACGTGCAGATATCAAACCAACGTTACGGGCAAAGCGGATCCTATCAAAATAGGATAAATAATTACTTGCCTCACGCCATAACAGATGATATCCTATATATATATACATACATATATATATATATATATATATATATATATATATATATATATATTGAAGTAATCTTTTGGCGTTAACACTCAACGGTGACAGACTGTTTCATATTCAACGCAATCATCAGGCCTGACCATTGCATTTAGCATGAAACAGCCTGTCGCATCTGAGTGATGTCTTCAATGTTCACTTTTATATTTACATAGGATATATCTCTGATATTGAGCACTTTATGCCATAAATATAGCATAACTGAAAACCATATATATATATATATATATATATATATATTCTGTATTTGGGCAGCAATCTCTATTTCATAAAATTTCGTTAAAACGTTTGACATGGTGTTGTGATTAAGAGTTTTTCTATATAATATTTCAACTGTTCTTGTAATTCTTTTTCTTTTCCGTACATAAATGATATAAAATTTGTACAAATATATATATATATATATATATATATATATATATATATATATATATATATAATTATTTATTCGAAAATTATACTATAAATATGTTATAAAATCACTACAAAAATAGCCATTTTGTTTCAACACCTCTGTGTATTTTCGAATAAATAATTATATTCGCTCTACTCTGTATTGAGCACTTATTTAAGAATAGTAATTGTTGGTTATTGGAATTTATTCCGTATACACTAATCCTAAACTTGTATATATAGTCGAATCCATTACATTCACTTACGTGCTAATATTCTTGAGAAACATGTGAATCCTCTTCTTCTCCCTCCAGCTATGGGTAAATGGCAGGACTGGGTTCTATAGCCTTGGATGGCAACTGGTCTAGGAGAAGGACAACTCTGAATTCAAAACCTGCTGAGGGTCGTTTGGAGACCTTGTGGCACTTAGTGCAGCAGGTCTCTGTAATCGGCCCTTCAAAAAGTGTGGATGGTCCTGCACGAAACCTTTATCACTATAATCAAATCTCATGTGTCGTTGTTGGGCTGTCGGTTTCCTGGGAATTGATCTGCTTGACCCTCATACGTCGAATTCGACGGGAGAGTCGACTATATATATATATTGTGTATTTGGAAGTAATCCGATTTTATATTGAAGACAAATGACAAGGCGTTGGGATTGAGCTTTGTATCAACTTTTCTTGCATTCATACAAGCGATTTCTTTTCTGAATATAGAACGTGTAAAAAAGTTCAAATGATCCTTGAATAATATAGCTTTTGACAATTCTATTAGCCATTATAAAAGATGCAGATGACGATTTTGTAGAATTTTTTTTACATGTACCGAGGATTGGGAATGTTTTTTTGATTTCTGAAATTTCTTTGATGGTTAATTTAAACGTCTTAGTATCAGGTACACACCAAAATGTGTTACCGGCGATAGCGAATATAAAATGGCATAATATCAAATGGTTATACGGATCCCCCCAGGCTAAAAACAAACCATGTGTGAAGTTTTACTCTCTGTAAGGTCGGAGAAAGTAATGTGTACAGCACTTTAGCAGTAAGGCTCGGTAGTGTATAACGTATTGAAGTATAAGTGGATGTGTTTGTACGTGTGTTCGGCTAGCACCGGTAAAGAAGAGGAAGAATTTGTTCAAATAGCGTTAATATCTTCTGTTAGAAACCACAATTACAATACACACAGATACAATCAATCAATCTATCTATCTATCTATCTATCTATCTATCTATCTATCTATCTCTCTCTCTCTCTCTCTCTATATATATATATATATATATATATATATATGTAAGGAGGTGGTTACAGTTGTTCCAACGAGAGATAAGTGTATATTTTAAAAAGAAGAAACCTCAAACGTTTTTGGTTATAATGTGGTTTTTAAAAATTTATTATACTTATATAAAATAACACACACACACACACACACACACACACACACACACACACACACACACACACATATATATATATATATATATATGGAAAATAACGTAACAATATATTTAAAAAAAATACACAATCAATAACGTTTGCAGTGGTTTTTTTTATAATACATACATATATATATATATAAATAAAATAATATATATATATATATATATATATATATATATATATATATATATATATGTATTCTTGTGTTTATAATTGTTTAATAATCGTTATTATATTATTATGAATTTATTACTTTTATTCCTTAAAATCCATATTGATTTCTCTTTTGAAGATAAGACGTGGTATACATCGACTGTTTTCTTTTAAAAATCAGTGTTACATAACGAGTTTATTTTATTACGAGTATCTAATATATTATCCCCAATAATTTTTATATGGTTATGAAGATTTAATACATTGAATTTAATAAATTACTTATACATTGGCAAGAATAATTGCATCGTATTTATATTTTACAGTAACTCTTTTTAGTCTTAAAGAAGACGTATTTTTATTTTTTTTTAAGAAAGAGGGCGTATTTTCAAATTTGTTTTCGAGTCGTAACGATATTTGTCTTTGCTTACTTTTTATTCTTAGTTCAGTACAATCGAATTATTTTTTACAGTAACATTCACACAGTATAACGCCTGGGGGCTCCTCGGGGTAGAGGATTACGATAAATTTGTAGTTTATATGTATAGGTGGGAAGATAACTGTTGACTCTAGACGAGAACAGGTTAAGGTTGTAGTAATCAGGGAAACGTCCACGAGGGAGTCCGTTCCACAGGTCACTGGTTCGAGGAAAGAAACTGTTTGAATGGAACTTATTTCTCGCCGATAGAAAACGGAGAGAATATGGTTTGGCTTGCTACTATGTAAGTGGCATGGCGGTCCTTGCTGTGAAGGTCTGACATGGTAGAACCAGAAGATGCAGTTCGTCCGAGCACTTTACATAGTAGTAGCGATAGAGTAGTGAGATATTCGAAACATTCGGCCTGTGAGAGAGAGAGAGAGAGAGAGAAAGAGAGAAAGAGAGAGAAAGAGAGAGAGAAAGAGAGAGAGAAAGAGAGAGAGAGAGAGAGGTCTTCCCATATTATTTATTTTTCAAACATTTTTAACAACAGAAATAACATAAAAACGATGTTCTTACATCCATTTAAAGATAACTTTATACTTTTTGTTACTTTATTTATTGATTGCTTTCTATTATTTGTCATTTAAACAGAAATTATGATAGGAATAATAAGTGGTACATTTGGGGACGAAGTGTTTACTCCCACATCCAAAATAAAATATGTATATCTGTGCATGTGAAGACAACGTGCAGTAATGGATGACCGCTCGGATTGAGGAATCGGAACCATTGCAGTCATTCATGTTCTAACACCCTTGGGAAAGGCATGAATCCTTTTCTTTTTTCCCCAGGTAGATAAAAGAACAGAGTGGGTTCTATAGCCTTGGGCGGCAACTGGTCTAGTAGAAGGTAACTCTGAATTCAAACCTGTCAGGCAATATTTCCCAAGAAACACCACTATTACTGCGGCTGAAATACATGTCGGGCCTCTACGACCATGATGGATTACGGGCTTCACTATCGCGATGTATAATACTTTGTGCATTTCGTCTCCGAGTGAAGGCTAAAAATAATGGAAGCCTTATTAATAAAAACAACAACAACAAAAAACAACACTTAATAATATTAACTAGGAACATGGACACAATATCTTGACCGTGTTTTGAAAAATGAAAACATTTTATAAAATATACATACAACAAACTATTTCTGATTTAACAGTTAAAATATTTAGTCCTTGAAGATGGCTAAATGTGTTGTCGAAATCCCTCGGATAAAAAGAACATTTGGAGAGTTTTTATATAATTTATCATCCGAAAAAAAAATATTAGATCGCATGAGAAATTGTGAAAAAAAGGAAACAAAAGCACCTTGTCAGTCGTATTCAATGAAAATGTGCATGAAAGAAGGATTGCTGCCTAAATACACACACAGACACACACACACACACACAGACACACACACAGACACACACACACACACACACACACACATATATATATATATATATATTATATATATGCGCGGTACTTATTGGAAAGTGCTCAATATCAGTGACAAAGCTAACATATTTAGTTGGATTCATGTGAGTTTGTGACCCTGGGTTTCAAGCTATTTGCGATCATCAGATAAACTGAATAATTTAAAAATTTCTGATTTATATATGGTTGCGCATGTCGGTGTTTTTATGGAAGTGGGACGAAAAATTATCGTCGGAAATTCACTCATACTTACGCAACCATCACTCATTGACGCACGCAGGCATTCATACACACACGCACTCACTCACTGGAGCTCACACATACATAAACAGTGAACTGTGTGAAACCGGGCGTAGATGCGATTTACGGTCACAAATAACGTGAAAGCCAGTGTCAAAAACTCACCAATACAATATATATATATATATATATATATATATATATATATATGGTTTATTAGACCGAAACGTCCGACGTTGACATATTAACATTAAAACAGCATAATTGTATATAAGGATTTTTAATTGTTTTTTCCGTATATTTTTCTTCATATATATATATACTAACAAATTTACTATTTCGCCATACAAAAATCCTACCAGCATAAATTCATGTACACTTAACTACAATAGCGAATGCCCATATAAATAGCAATTATAAATAATCTAATACATAGTGCAGAAACTAATTCCTCCATAAAACAGATTTTTTACAGTGAACTAAAGAATATAAAACAAAAACTTATTAATAATAGCTTTCCAAACTATATAGTTGATGAACAAATAAGATGCTTTCTTAGAACTCTCAATACTAAGCAAATAGTACATAATACTGCTTCTACTAATCTCAAACATATTAATCTCCTATATCGTAATCAAATGCATACTAATTATAAACAAGATGAAAATATACTAAAAAAATTAGTAAATACTAATATATCTACAACAGATCCTAGCAAAATAATTAAGTTAATCATATACTGCACTAAATCTAGTATATCCAACTCAATTATTCACAATGATTCTTCTCCCCCGGTTAGCGATTTGCAAAAAAACAACATAGTTTCCAAATTCAAGTGTCCTTTGGGAGATTGTATCTCCAACGATTTAAATAATATTTATGTTGGTCACCCGACAAACTCGCTTTCTCGACGCTTGAGATGACATTTGAATGAAAACTCTAACATTTTTAGGCATTTAAAAAAAAACATGCCTGGCCGAATACACAATTCCGTAAAATCCTTGTTGAAAACACAATTATATTTAAACATAAAAACAATAAACAAAAACTAAAAAATCTTGAAGCGATAATACATAAAACACTTGAAACCTAACCTGAACAAAATAAACTATGAAATCTCCACAAATGTCCTTAAATGTCTATAATTGGTAACAGAAGCCATTGGTTTATACCAACGGCTTCCCATACTTCATACTTCTCGAATTCACTCTTGCGTGGTCATGTGTGACGTCATGAGCTGCGGTGCGATTTTCGCTTCTTGCGTCTTATATGCACGTGTTTATCGGTGCTTGGAAATCATCCATGTAAACAAAAACAGACTATCATCACTGTCTTGTCTGTGTATTGCTTAATATGCTGTAATGTAATTGTCATCTTTGATAATGGCTTATGTAAGCCGAAAGCTAAGATAGGATTAAAAAATATGTATCAATACTGTGATTTTCTTTCTTCGTTTAATGATAATGGTATTAAGCTTATCAGACGTTATGAAAAGCATTTACATAAAATAAATAGACAACACTTGTCTATATACATATACATATATATTATTAACAAAAATGCGCTCTTCTGCAGGAGTATTTTAATTTAATGTTTTCATGAGTGTATAGACCGGTAGACGAAATAAAATCCTTTTGAGAAGAAACGGTTCCGTCTACTCAAACATGTATATATATATATATATATATATATATATATATATATATATATATATATATATATATACAGTGTGTAGCAAAAGTATTTAACACATTAGTTTTTTTCTTACATATCTCAAAAAATAACAGATCAATTTCAACGAAACTTATAGGAAATATTTAAGCGAACATTGTCGATCAAAACATAGAAGGAAAATTTAAAATATATAAATATGTAAGAAAAACCAATGTGTTAAATACTTTTGTTACCCACTGTGTATATATATATATATATATATATATATATATATATGATAAAAAAGTAATAGCAGAAATATCGGATAACAACTAAAATTCCCTTGTGTGTAAAAGGAGTGCGTGTATGTGTGTGTGCGTGTGAGCGTATATCTATCTATCTATCTATCTATGTATATATATATATATATATATATATATATATATATATATATATATATATATGTACCCGGTCAAACAGCAAAATTGTCCAAATCGAGTAACATCATAATTGCCCCTCCCACAAAACGTTTAATATGTAAAAGAAAAATTATGACTAAAGTAACTGAGTTTAATTTTTCCACGTTTTCAGATAAGACGGTCAGCTACCCTGACACCATTTTTCATAAGGGTGACTGAAAAGCAATTTGAGTTATTCAGCTAGAAATAGAACAGGTTAAAATCATTTTGTGTTATCCCCATTGTCTTCCCAAACGGGCAGTTTTGAGCGGAAAGAGATCATTCAGGCCTTCAGCAATGTTACCAACATTTATATTCTGTCTTCCATTTTCGGAGGTCATCCAAGAACTTTCAAGGGAATAAATTTTAAAATGTTGCAACAGCAGAGAGGTAAATTGGATCAGGAGACAACAGGAAGTGGGATCATCATTTCAACTTAAATCTAAA